CTCAAAAAGCAGTCGGGCATTGGCACCGCTGCCCAGGAAGGGGGTGGGGACACCATCCCTGGAGGTGCACAAGGAACGTGGAGATCCAGCACTGAGGAACACCATCAGTGGGCATAGTGGGATGGCTTGGCGTTGGACTTGGGATTTTCTTTCTCAACCTTAATGATACTACATTTCTATGTTTTCTATGAAAACATGAAGCCAGCCCTCGCCTGGCCGCCATAGCAGCTGGGCCGCGGGCGGACTACAACTCCCAGCATGCACCGAGCCTTGAGGGAGCATGCGCAGAGCCACGCCCTCTGACCTTTGCGTCCGCCGCCGCCGGCGCTGTGCGGGGCGCCGCCATCTTCTCCTCGTCCCCGCCGTCCGCCCAGCTCCGCCGCCGCCATGCCGGACGATCCGGACCCGGAGGTGTATAAAGCGCCGCCGAGCCGTACTCCGGTCTCGGAGAGCACCTCGGCTCTGCCCAATCCGGTCACCCTCATCCAGACTGCGTTCAATTATATCATCGATGCGCCCGTTACCTTCGTACGAGGTACAGACCGGTCACCGGGCTGAGCGCGGCCTTCCCGCTCCCGTCGGAAGGGCAGCGATGCGGTGTGGGGACGGGGACGCGGGGCGGACACGGGGACAGGCAGTGCACGCAGCGGTGGTGGCACAGACGGACGCACCGGGCTGTGAGGTGCCTGACTGTGCCGCTGCTGTTGCAGAGTGGATCGAGCGCCAGCAAGCCAAGAACAAGTCCTATTACTACCACCAGAAGTTTCGCCGCGTGCCCGACCTGAGCGAGTGCCTCGAGGGGGATTACCTCTGCTTCTACGAGGCTGAAGCGCAGTGGAGGAGGGACAGGTACGGCTGGCACGGGGCTGCCCCCAGCGGAGGGTCACAGAGCCCTCCCGCTCTTCTCGGTTGGCTGTGGGAGTCGTGGGGGTTGCATTGGAATCGCATGGATTTTGGGGTGTTGAATGGTTACCTAAGCCACTGTGTCTACCCCCCCTTACAGAACACTGGTGGTTGCAGTTATTCTGTCCCCTGGAGCCTGCTTAGCTGGGCAGGCTAGCTAGCATTAGTGTCATCCTGGTTTCTGCAGTTCTGCTCTTCTGTAGTCCATGTGTTGCAGTTGCACTCCTACTCATCTCCCACACAGGTTGGTGGATCAGCAGATTGTGGAGATAGTCCGGGAAAGGCTCGGTGCATGCAAGCACAGGGAAGGACCAAGCCATTTTCAGAACTGTGCCAAGGAGGCAGAGCAGCTTGCACAGGTTACCAAAGCCTACCAAGACAGATGTGAGTACTGCAGCCTTTACATCTGCCATAGCTGTGACAGCATATGGGGAAAGGAAGGTTCAAAAGATCTTTTCCTTGCATTAAAACTCCCTCTTGGAAAATGCTGCAGATCTGAGCTCAGTGTTCAGATGTGCCAGACCCACTGGGCCTGGGCAGTGACACTTCAATAAGCACAGCACAGCTGACACTCCTACAGTATCGAAAGCTGTGTGCATTTCTCTCTCAGCACTGCAGCTTGCACCTGTCCTAAGCGCCACACTTCACCTGGGTCAGACCTGGTTCCTCCTAGCTGCTGAGGGCTATTCTTCAGACATTCACATTATTACCTTTCCTTTTAGATGGTGATCTTGGTGTCCACGGAAATGCCAGGACGTGTCTGATGAAGCAGAAGCACAGGATGATAGAAGAAATGAAGGCACAAGAAAATGCATCTCAGTAAATCTGGATACAGAATAATTAGCACGTCTGTCAGTGGTGCTTTTATCAATCCTGTGTTGCGTCTGTGAACTGTGATGCTCTACAATAAACTTGCAAACCCAAACATCTGCCATGCCATTAGCATTCTCATTTAAACTCATTCTTTGAAGAGGTGTGCAAAAACTTAGAATTCTTCCTTTTTGAGATCTGTTTCAGTTGGTTGCTACCACTCTCTAAATGAAGTCAGCTCCACGTACCCACCCCAGCTGTGTGTCCCTGCTCGATTTCTCTATTACCATTAATCTACAAACCATTAATTCTGCTCTACCCAACCATGGTAGGGAGCACCCTCAGAGTAAACACACTGTGAAAGGACAGTATAAGGGAATATTATTTTCCCCTCTCTTTGGTTACAAACCCCACTCAGGATTAATGTATGATTAACAAGGGTTAGTGCAAAACATTCTGTTCCACCCAACAGATGTTCAGGCTGTAGCCCACAAACTTGAGCCTACTCAGATCCCAAGCACAAACTTAATCCATCTGCCCAATACACAAAGCATCCAATCAAACCAACTTCTTGTCCACTGACCACTTTATTGCCTTGTACAAAAACCACTTAAGTAGTTGCCACAGCAGCTGCCTGGGTTCTCTGCACTGAGACTCTGGTGTGGGTCTTAGCCAGATGATCAGTGAACTCCTGGATTAAAACAAAAAAAATAGCATTTAGTTTCTGTAAACCACTGTTGTGCCTTCTCAGCATCGTAACTTTTCAACAAGCTGTGTACACTGGGGTGGGATTTTCGGTTACAGTTCTGTTACTTAATATTTCACTTATTTCTTTGCTATTGAACCATGAAATACTATTTAAGTGCAAACTTATCAGACTATCAGGACAACGTGAGCTGGGAACTGAAGGAAGCATTGCACGTGTACCTGGTAAGGAGACTTGGTGAAAACGGTCTCTTTCCAGAGGTCAGGAGTCAAGTAACTGTATGTCTTGGAGATGGCATCGAAGGTGGCCTTAGCTACGGAAAGAAGTTAAATATTGCACATCACTGTTACAGAAATGAACTCCTGTACCCATTCACACATCTCCAGAAGTGTAGAATTTCAGAGGAAACAGAGAGACCATAAGAAGATCTCTCTGTTATACTCTTAAAATTCCCTTTCCTTTCTCTCTCCATTTACGACAATTACACTACTTCAAGCAAGTGCAACCGCGCAGATTGGGAGATTGGGAGCTTTCCATTTGCCATGGACTTAACAACACCGCAGCACTATTTTCCCTTCCAGTAAAACAACACATGCACAACTACAACGCAATAACCTCACACTTACCAAAGTTGCCAAGTGTGGCAGTACAGCCCCGAGCTGAGGTATAACAGTCATCGATTCCAGCCATCATCAGCAGCTTCTTGGGAACAGGGGCAGACACGATGCCTGTACCACGAGGCGCCGGGATCAGACGCACCAGGACAGATCCGCACCGCCCAGTAACCTATGAGCACAGCAGGTTCCAGCTTCCACAGCACACACCACGGCGTGACTCACAGGCAATGCACAGCAGGTTGTTCTTACCTTGCAAGGCACGGTGTGAGGCTTGCCGATCTTGTTCCCCCAGTAGCCTCGTCTCACTGGGACGATGGATAATTTAGCCAAAATGATTGCCCCACGAATCGCAGTGGCAACTTCTTTAGAGCATTTAACACCAAGACCAACATGGCCGTTGTAGTCTCCAATGGCAACAAAAGCCTAAAATTGAAGGAAAGTTTTCAGCCAAGGCTTTGTCATGCAGGAACACTCTCTCAGCAGAACATAATCCAGCAGGATGTCACCACAGATAACCAGAAGCATATGATCACAGCTACAGTACACTACAACTAAGCAGTTGTTAAAGCAGCTCCTATAACTTATAAAGTTACGAAGCTTAGTAAGGTGCTGCACGGGCTGCCGGAGAGGTTGTGGATGCCCCATCCCTGGAGGTGTTCAAGGCCAGACTGGATGGGGCCCTGGGCAGCCTGGTGTATTATTGAATGTGCAGGTTGGTGGCCATTGTTGCAGAAGAGAATTGGAGCTTGATGATAGTTGAGGTCCCTTCCAACTTGGGTCATTCTGGGATTCATTATGTCTGAGAAGCACACTTCTCCCCTTACAGTTTTGCCTCCCAGATCAAAAGTAACAAAAGAAAACTGGGTTTTAGATTTCTGATGCAAACACAACTATCACAATCCGAATAATGTTCAAGAAAAAAATCCTCAGAAGAGATTACCTTAAACCTGGTACGCTGACCAGCACGCGTCTGTTTCTGGACAGGCATGATCTTCAACACCTCATCTTTCAGAGAAGACCCCAGGAAGAAATCAATGATCTCTGACTCCTACAAGATTCAGCCATTTAATCACACTTCTAAGCCACACTTCTAAGCTGCAATCTCCACACAAAACAAAACACACAAATCTCACTGCTGTTCTCTACAAATGAGTCCAGAGTCAACTAAATAACAACACGGCTCAACTTGAGTGTTCTAAATAACAAATGCAGCAACTGATGCCAATTTCACAGTTCAGACCGAGACCCTGCTGCACGCTGCTCACCAGCTCTGAGCACCCACAGAACCTCACCTTGATGGGAAGGGAGAAGAGGTAGATCTCTTCCAGAGACTTGATCTTCATATCCTTGACCAGGCGACCAAGTTTGGTGACAGGAATCCACTAAGGAAGAAACAAGTAAACGACAATGGCCTTACAGCATCTTCTAGGGGAATAGGGACTACAGACAACACCACGGGTCAGCCCAACATAACGCTCCCCGCCCTGCAGACTCCACTCACTTCCTTATCCTCTGCTTTGCCTCCACGGGCCCCGCGGCCTCTCCCTCGGCCCCTACCACGGCCGCGCCCGCGGCCCCGCAGCCCGGTCCCGAAGCCGCCGCGGAAGCCTCCTCGGGCGGCTCCTGCCCCTCCTGCAGCACCGGCGTCGTCCGCCATTTGCTATACCGAAAGAGAGGTACATTAGCCAAAACACCGCCACCATCAACTAGAAATAACTACGCGGCGCGACCACAAAGCCCGGCCGGGACCCATCCGGCGAGGCACGGCCGGCCCCACACCGCAGGCGGCTCGGATGGGAGCGGATAGAGCGGAGGTCGCAAACAGCCGCCACCCCACGGCCATCAGCACTTACGTGTTCGTAGAGTAGAAGGCCGCCACTCGCCGCCGTCCGTTATTTATACTCAGAAAGTTCTCGCGAGAACACCTCTGTGTGGTGCCAACCCGGCGCGCTGAATTTATAATAAACTACATTGCGGAGGAGGCGCTAACCGCTTAATTATACAGGGTGCGGGGCGAGAGGGCCAGCTGGAAGCTGTGCGCATGCACCACCTCTACGCATGCGTAGTCTCATGGTATAAAGGCGCGCACACGTGGTTCTGCAGTCTGGTAAGTGAGGAGGTAGGTGGGTTGGGTGCCGTATGTGGGGTAGACGGGTTTGGTTTGTTTGCTTCTTCGGTTTTCTTCTCTTTGTTGCGTTTAGAGATTTTAAGACTTTGCTGGGGTTGCGTTTGCGTTATAAGCTGTGCTGGTAGGGGGTGGGTACAGAAAGAAGACTGTTGGTGTGAGGGCTAGGAAGCAGCCTTTGGCACAGTCTGAAAATCACCTGCGGTCTCCTGTGGCCTCCGGTGAGATAACCGTGCCTACAGCATAGGGAACATCAAAGCTTATTGCCCACGGTGACGGTGTGTGGGGAGTGAAACCCATGTTCCCATAATTTCAGTGAGGGGCCCTGGGGTGGCTGAGCGTGAGGGTGATGTGTGAGTGCTGTGCGTTTCCCCGCAGGTGTAACAGCCCGGCTAGGATCCTTCACGTGAAGATAAGATAAAAAGTGTCTTTGTGAGAAGGCCGGAGGATTTACAGTCGGAATACTTCAAAGCTCTGCAGAACGGTTATAAAAGAATGATTATATGAATGGAGCTGAGTATTTTCAATAAAAATTTACTTAAACACTTACTCGAGTCCTGCTATTTGTATTTTTGTACAGTCCGCGAACTCTGGGGTTTGAAGGGTGTGGGTGTAGTGTGGAACATAACTCGGACGAGTGGGAAGCCGTTCCCAGCCGCTTTCCGTTCCATAACGGCGGCGGTTTGTTCAGACGGAAGCGGCTCCGCGCCCTGCGCTTCTTTCTCCCACGTGACGCGCAGAGGCTGCTTCCTGTGTTGGTTGTGCGTTATTCACATGCGCCGGAAATCCAACTCCCGCAGCCGGAAGTCCCGCCCTCGAAACCCGGAAGGGGCCTGCACGCGGGGCACAGGGTGTCATGGCCACGGCGGCGGGCAGCGCGGTGCGCTTCAAGAGCAAGTGAGCGGGGCTGGGGCTGGGCTGGGCTGTGCGGCCGTAACGTTCGCCTCCGGGAGCGGCCGAGCTGCGCTGTCTTCACTTTAACAATCTGTCCATGCGTTTCCCTTTCTTCCTCTCTCAGTTATGCTGTGTCGAGGAAAATCGAGCCGTTCTACAAAGGAGGGCGAGTGCAGGTAGTGGTCGCCTACGGCCGGTGTCTCTAGAAGGGGCTGGGGAGCGCCCTGCTCCCTGCTGGGCCACCCCCACTGCCTACTCTCAGATCTCCATCCTCTATTTTCTAGGTAAGCCAGGATGGGAAGTTCATGTTCTGCCCCTGTGGGACCAAGTTGAACGTGATCGATGTCGAGACGGGAGCTCTGCTGCACAGCCTTGAGCAGGTGAGGGAACACTGAAGCGTTTCCCGCGGCTCTCAGGCCTTGTAACTGATGTGTTTTGAAGCTTTTGGGAGCGGTAATAGAGAGGTCTGAGAACTGCAACCCTGGCTGGTGTTTGCATTGTTCATCACTGTGTGCATGGTGCAGGGTGTGCTTGGGTCAGTAGAAGCTGTGGCAAAGTAAGGCTTGAGAGCTCTCGGAAGCAGTGCACGGATGATTAACTGTGTTTTTATCACTTTTCAAGGACGACCAAGAGGACATCACTTCATTTGTTCTCAGCCCTGATGATGAGGTATGTGTATGGCTGTGTTTGCTGTGTGTTTTTCTTTCCTGGGCCTCCTGATAAGTCCAGTGAAGTCTGAGGAGTGTTCTGCCATGAATGTCCCTGGGGAACTCTATGGAGTCTGTTATCTCTTCTGGGTTCGAGTCAGATGTAGGAATTACTGTTGATTTTTTTTTTTTACTGTAATTAGCTACAAAGATGCATCCAGGGACAGGAATACATTTTACTCTATTCTGTATATATGCAGAAACTCTATTAGTTGATGTTTCATTTAAATCCTGATTTTTTTTCTAGCTGCTTTCCAGCATCCATGCATATGCTGAAGCACTGCAGGTCAGAGCTTCTGGGAGAGGTTTCCTGTTGTTTCTGATGTTTGTCTCTCAGTTTTGAGGAGGTCTTTGTGAACGCTTGTTATGCGTTCGGTGCGTTTCCTAATACGTTTTGGAACAAGTATTAGTCTTGTGAATGAATGTTGAGATACTGAGGTTCAAGGACATCATAGCAATGGATATTTATGTTGTTTGTGTATTGTCACTGATGGAAGTGGCTGATTTTGCTTTCCTTTGCCTTGCTTTTCTATAGATTCTTGTGACAGGGAGCCGAGCGCTGCTGCTGAAGCAGTGGAATTGGCGAGAGAACAAGTGTGTGCGCACGTGGAAGGCAGTGCACATAGCACCAGTGGCTACCATGGTCTTTGACTCTACTTCAACGCTGTTAGCCACAGGTACGATCCTATTTCAGCCTGACTTAATGCAGTGTGAGGTGGTGAGCTCTCTGTTACATACATCATCATAAGAGGCTTTATATATGTGTAAAGTGTCTTATTGAAAGAGTTCTTCCAGTATTCTACAATATTTTTAGTAAAGTGCTGGTAAATATCAGGGATTTATGAGACAGCGTGGCATAGTTAATCTGAATGTGCAGTTAAGGCTCCTTGAAGATGGAAGACAAGCATGAACTCTAATGTGTCAGTTGCACTTGAAGTTTATTTTCTGTGGACAGTCAGATTTTATAAGTGTGAAGTACTCATGAACTTCTCTTGGTGTGGATGGCTGTTCCTGGATTCATTTTTCTTTCTGCTGCCTTTTTTACTCATTAAATTTTACAGCTGTTGCAGTGTTGGACCTCCTTTCTTCATTCTGGCATGCTCTTCTTTTCTAAGGTGGCTGTGACAGCACCATTAAGATCTGGGATATGGTCAAGCAGTATTGCACACACAACCTGAAAGGATCTTCAGGAGTTGTACAGTAAGGATGAGCCCTGTTTTTCAGTCACTTGATGTGATGCCTGCATGCTGGGATTGATGTGAATTGTCAAATTCTTTGTGTGCAAAGCATTTCTATTTATATATTGGTCTAATGCAAAGAAGGTGCCAGGCAGCTTATTCCTACTCCATTCAAGTGTTTCTCCTCTTTAGCCTCGTTGAGTTCCACCCTGATATCTCCCGTCTGCAACTCTTCTCCTCTTCAATGGACTACAAAATCAGGATTTGGGATCTGAATTCCAGCAAGTGTGTGGCTGTGCTGGATGGCCACTTCAGTGCTGTCACCTCCCTGGCATTCACTGCAGATGGAAACACGTTCATTAGGTAAAAAAAAAAAAAAAAATAGAAAAAAGCAGAAGCTTAGCTTTTTCATTAACTCTGGCTCTTGGCAGACATTGGGTGCTTGAGTGAAGTTCGGGTGGGGTAGTTTGTCCTGTGGGGGTAAGAACTGCTAAAGTATTCAGTCTCAGCTTGACAATGCACTGTGGACTTCTTCAGAGAAATGTTGAACCCACAACTCCAAATTTGAGTTCAGAGATTGAATTGAATGTTTTTTAATGCTGATTTATCTTGTAGTTCTGGCCGTGATAAAATCTGCATGGTGTGGAACCTGAAAACCAGAGAAAGTAAACGGACTGTCCCTATCTATGAGGTGAAATTGCATTTCTTTTATTCCTTTGAGATTCTCTGTTGTCTTTGTAGGTTTATGTATATAATGTGTGGGTTCCTACATGTGTGTAAATAAAATGTGGGGTTTTATGTATTGTGATGTGACACTACTCTGTGTGTATTTTCCCAAGGCCTCAAAACTCTGTCTGAAGCTGTTTGTTATCTCTGTACTTGCTTGATGTAGCTGTGCCTGGGCAATTTGTAGAAATGTATGCCACCTATACCTCACTTCTGGAGAAGGAAAGAGAGACAGTTGCTAGAAAACTTTCTTCTTGCTTTGTGTCTGCCAGCCTTTCCTAGGCACCTGTGTAGTGTAGTCTGGGGCACTGAAGCATGGTTTGTGTGCTTTTGGCACTAATGAGCTGTTAACACAGCTGCTTGCTGCAATAGGACTCTAACCCTTTGTGCTAAGCTGCTGTTTGGCCAACTCCTTTGTAGAGCGTGGAAGCCGCCATCTTGCTGCCTGAACGAGGAGATTTCTCTCAGCTGGGTGTGAAGAAACAAGGGCTGCATTTTCTCACGGCTGGCAGCAAAGGTGAGCATCCTGTCATGTTGCTGCTGGAGTTGGACGCTAAGGAAGAACTGTGCTTAAGGTGCTACATTGCTGTTGTTCCTGGGATACGTGGTTTGTGTGGCAGGAGTGTTGGGCTGAACTCTTGGGGGATGGAGAGCAAAGCCTTCTCCTGATTTCCTTCAGTGATAGCAGATGAGGAAGAATTATCAGGCCTTAAGGCTGTGTGGCTTTTACTTGTACACAGTGCCAAGGTTTGTTTTATATTCCTTGTACAATCACTGTCTACAACAGTGGCTCTGACATAATCTATATTATTTGCTAGGGGTCCTGAAAATCTGGGAAGTTGCTACAGCTGCTTGTGTGTACACCCAGCCTGTGCCCTTTGAGCCTGTGGAGTCAGAGGAGGAGGCCAGTGAGCACAGCCTGACCCACTGCATGCTTGTGCCTGAGAGAAATGAGATAGTTACAGTGTCTGTGGAGCACAACATTGTTTTATATGATGCTCAAACTCTTCAGCTCAGAAAGCAGGTAACAATCCTCATCCTTTCTTTTCCTTTTGTCAGTATTTTAGGCTCAGCTTTGCTTCTAGTGAAAAGTCTGTTCTTGAAATAACAAGCTTTGTTGTTGAAAGTTTGTTCCTGAACTGTTCCTTGGTTACAAGCCAGGAAGCCAGATCCACTGTTGGAGTTGGAGGGATATTGCACAAATAATACCGAATGGAAAGCAGAACAGCCTCAGACAAAAATCCCTTCTGTATTCCAGCTTATGTCTAATAAGATCAGAATTAAGTGAAAGAAAATGGGAATGCAGCCTCCCTGAGAATGGTGCCATTTGGTGCTTCACTCTGTTTGACTTTTTCTGTTCTGCCATCCTCAGCTTGCAGGTTACAACGATGAGGTTCTGGATGTGAAGTTCCTCGGGCCTGGTGATTCTCACATTGTTGTGGCTACCAACAGCCCTCAACTGAAAGTGTTTGAACTGTCAACATCACACTGCCAGATCCTCTATGGCCACTCAGGTGTGTGTGTGTGCGAGTGTGAGTGTGTGTGGTCAGCTCTGATGGAGATGGGTGGAAGATGTGGAAGTAGTTCTTTATCCCGTTTTTCTCACAACTTTTATGTGGGGACTGGAGTCACTGGGCTCTGTCTGGAGTAGCATCACAACTGATTTTGGTGGTTTGGTTGGTTTTTTGGGGGATTTTGTGGGGTATTTTTCTGTACACTTCTGACTTTGCAAATGCTGCTTTATCTTTATCCAGGTCTGTCAGTTCAGTCTTTCTCACTAACTGAAATCAGTTTAGTTTGGAGTTGAGGGTGTAGGTATGGGAGTGCTTGCTCTGATTGCTGTTTTGTGACTGCAGTGACAGACCTGCACCAATGCCATATGCCACCTGTCACTTCATAAGGAGTGCAGATATGTTCCTGAGTCTCACAAACCCAGCCCTAATCACTGAGCTGTGGACTTCATACTAACTGATACATTTCTGTTGTCTGATTTCAGTATTCCTTTGCATCCAGCTGTTTTTTCTTCCTCTGTTTAGAAACGATT